CAACTTCATCTATCTTTGAACGGTGCCTCAATTAGTGGCATTGGCCTTAAAAACGAGACATCACCAGTTGTGGCAGGCCAGTGGGGGCAGGCGACTTTAAGTGCCACTCTGGCCACAGTCACAGTCATTATTATCATCATCATCATCATGATGTTCAGTGGCAATGTGGTCATTGTAATCATCTTCATTCGATGGCCCTGCGGCTGACATATGTATTGGCGTTTGTAATATGACAGACAAAAGCACAATCAGCTAAGCACTTACTTAGAGAGAGAGAGAGGGAGAGAGAGAGGGAGTAGAACAGCCAGCGAAAGAGAGGTAGAGAGGGAGACATGGTGGAAAAAAAACGATGCCACTTCGCTGGCCATGTTAAAGTGATTTTTCACCTCAAGGGCAAATTTAACACAATAATTTGCACAATTTGTCAAAACAACCCTCTGGCTAAATGGTATCATAAACCACCACACACACACACACACCACCACATCCACTCTCTCACACACACACACAATCACACTGCGTAGCCCATATATTGACCCTGTCTGTCTGTCTGTCTCCGTCTGCCTGCCTGCCTGACTCGCTGTATGTATGAGAGTGTGCGAGTTGATTGTCCTGCATGCAGTTCTCCTTTGGCTTTGCCTTTTTTTTTTGTAACGCCCCACAGAATGTTTTCCGCTTTTTCCCCACCCGTCTTTTACTCTATATTTTTAGTGGTTTTTATTCTGGTTGGCTTTCCAGGGAAAAAGAAAAAGCTCCTTGGATTACTATAAGGCTGTTGTTAGCTGTAAACATTTGTACGATTAGTTAGGCTAGATTTAAGCTAATACAGATTTTTTAAACGTTTTTAAAGAGAGAGTGAAAGAGAGGGACTTGATGCTTTATGGGGCGGATGATCAGCACAGTCTTCCCATTCATATTTCAAGTTTCAGTAAAGAACTTTCATTTAAATTGGACAAATTTATCTCCATGCCTCATAAGAGTATTAAATGTTCGAAATTCCTTTGTTAGACCACAGAGAATTTCTTTTGCAAGTATATTTTTTGGCATGCTGATTCTCAGCAGGGATATGGCTTTCGTTTGTACATATCTTAAAATATAGATTTGATTCTTGCATATGCATTTCCAATGTAATTTCCGTGCTCCCCACATAATTTTCTCTCCAACATTTGACACGCATAGGTGACAAAATACGAATGTTCTATAGTTTATTTAACGTTCAACGACTACAGCTCCTTGGAGAGTTAAAAGTTATACTAGGGACTTGCCTTGCACTCTCCATTAGTTGAAGGAGTTCATCCAGGTCCCCACAAAACTATCTTTCTAATATTTTGTCTGTTGCGTTAGTTGCTTTACCTTAAGCCTCGGGCCTGATCTCACATTGCCACCAAACACTTCAACTCCAGTCCGTAGCTGTGGTCCCGAAACATAATTCGAAATTCCCTCATGGGTAGAGTATGTTCTCATATTTTCATATTTATGCCTGGAAATGTTTTGTCGCCATTTCTCTCCCTTCTCACCTTGCTTCCACCGCTACACCGCTCTGTGAATCACCTCTCGAACCATGTCACCCCCAAGTCGTTTCAGTCATTTTGCAGTTTTTGCACTTTGCAGTTTATGCAATTTCAGTCGCTGCCGCAGTCATAGTCGTGGTCGTTGTCATACCCTTGCAAGGGCTATTACAATTCAAAATATATATTTGCCAATCCTTCATCGAGTTTATATTTTTCTTGTCCTTTTTTCTATTCCTCAGTTTCGAAGCAAGGCTTTGACTGAAACTTTGTAGAAACTTTTCCATTATTTGCAGGAGATCTTTATGTCGAAACCACCGAGATTGGGTCACTAGTAGATCATATTAATCAGTCACGTAATTGAGACATTTTATTATATACTGGGACATGTTTGAAACATTCATATTTTGAATTACTATTATAATTAAAATTATTATTTAAGATACTATTTAATTCTGTTTGCAGTTATAAATCTTCTTCTTTTTCCACTTTTTTTAAATGCTTTGAAAATCGTTCCATGAAATGAGCGATCGGCAAGGGTATCAAATGGTTCGGCCATAAAGCTAGCTTTCCTTCTGGTTGTCGTTGTCGTTGTTGTCTGACCACACTGCAATTGTTGTTGTTTGTATTCCGCTTATTTTTATTTGCACTTGTTTATACTGCAATTTTTATAATAAACGGCATTGCACCCACACGAAACACCACCTGACTGCTACACACTATCCTGGCGAACCGATCTGTCTGCGGTTTTTCCCACTAATGTCGCTCAATGTGTAAAAATATTATGAATATATATATATATATTCGCACCCATACGAGTTTTTATACACACACGTACACACATATATATAAAGGAGTACGTGAACCGTAAAGATTCAATGTGATGCCGCACACAAAACGGGATTCGAATTCTATGCATTGGCAAATTCCAAGTATTAAATCAACTTGATGAACAAAAGTTATTGAGTATTTATTTGTTTATTTTATTTATGTTCCTGCCACTTCTATAAATACTCGCTTGCTCATTTTCTTCTTATTTGCATTTCCTGCAAAAAAAAATATGTGTCGACCTGGACACTGGACCATAATCATAGATGGAAACGCTTGCCGAAGTTTTTTGGGGATTATGCGCGGATTGGTAGACTCTGTGCGAGTAGATCTGTGCAACATACACATGTAAGTGAAACACTTGCAATGGCTTTCAAGTGGAGTTCCGATTTCAAATTGAGGGAATATTTTTTAAAAAATATATTCAGATATTTAAAGAATCACACTAGCTGCAGTAGTTAACGTGGCACTTGATTCAAAATAGTCTGTATACTTGAACTGTTTAAAGGTGTTAACGCTTGACAGTAACGCATTTTAATTTTATTCCTCAGCTGAAAGTTTCTTCAAGTTTATTTGTTATTTTCAATAATCTTACAAATCTTTTTTAAATTTTACCTTGGACAGAGTCTTCCTATGGTATATTCTGATTGAACTGATTGAAATGGTGTCTTCACTTATTTTTACCCGACTCAAAAGGTAGGGTATTAGTTTGGGTAGTGGTGTGTGTCGCGAGAGGACTTTCCGCCCCATAGTTCTGCACTCATAGCCGGTCGGGCCATGTCTGCTGTCCGTCTGTCTGTCTGCTGCTGCTGTCTGCTGCTGCTGCTGCTGTCTGCTGCTGTCTGTGACCGATCTCAGAGCTTAAGGCTAGGGCACCATTTGGTTTCCAGCTCATGTGTTCCCCTGCGTTCGCCCCCCCCCCCGCCTCCCAAGGGAATTGTGGCGGCCTTTTAAAGTCGATAAACTAAACCGTGTCGTAGAGATCCCATATCCCATGATCTGATCGTCGGATCTTATGCCAGATGAGAATTATCAGTTGCCCCCTCCCCCCCTCCACACAGTCCCTCTCGCTCCCCGCCGCGTTCAGTCGCGAGCACCCTAGCGGGGGTGTAGAATATAATTGGAACTGTACATCTACTGTTAGTGTAGATATACTTGTAGATGTAGATTAGATGTACAAAAAATGTTAAATGTAAATTTAACTAAAATTAAAAAATTATAAAAATGTTATGTGACTGAGTACGGGTATAGAGAGTCGCGTCCCAGAGCGACTCACCGCCTCTCGTTTTTTTATCTGACAAAGTCTTCCCATCAAATTTTTGTAACTTGAAATTCTAAGCAATTTTCTCATGAGCTGTTCCCTTGCCACAAAACTTGTACGGATATGAGATAAGCACAAAGGAAATGCTGGAAACTTTTGGGGCAGTCTGAGGTTGCAGTCAGAGTTCGGTTCGGTTCGGGTCGGGTCGGGGAGGAGGTTGAGCTTGAGGTTGAGCTACATTGAGCATTAATTTGTATTCACTCGCAACCTTGCCAGCACCCGCTGTGGTCTAAGCTCTTTTCTCAACATTTTTGTGCAAATACATTTATGTTTTCCCTGCTTTTTCTTTGTGTGTGTGTGTTTTTTTTTTTTTGTTCTGCAACAAAATGCATTAACTCAACTGAAGTTGTCCGAGCACATCCTGCCACGTCTATTTGTCCCTTTGTCCCAGTCTTGCCAGTGTTTTCTTTGTCTCCTTCCCTCTCCTTCCCACCCTGTCTCTCTGTCACTATCTTTGTGTGGCAAGTGTCGGTGCGTTTTTGTTGCGGTTTGTCTCCATGTGGGGATATGTCTATGTCCGTGAGTGTGTGAGTGTGTGTGTGTGTGTGGTGCCTGCCAAAATCCTTTTAAACTTGCCTCGCAAAACATTTTACATTCGATGACGTTTTCATTGCAAGATGCAACGTCAACAATAAACACACACAGAACCAGAACCAGAACCCCAACCCGAACCAGAACCAAAGCCAGTAGGAGGTACAGCAGCATAAGCAGGGCTAGAACCAGAGTAAGGGTCAAAACCAGAAGCAGATCCCCAACCCAAGTCGCAGAGTCGAAGCCAGATTTAGCCACAGAGAAGTGAGGATACACAGAGAGAAAAAAATGCACTGGATTATTGCGAGAGATCAATTTTGCAAGTGAGAAAATATTATTAATTATTATTATGTTCATTTTCATTGGAAATATTCATATATTTGTAGTAAATAAATTTTTTCTTGGAAATGGATATTTCGAAATGGATCATACATACATTTTTTTTTTCCGAGTGTAGGAGGTGAAAGGGCGGAACGAAAATCAAATTTGGAATCAGAGAATACTTCACCAATCCCAAACAGACATAAAATAAAAAAAAAAAAATAGAAAAAGAAATTGCCAAAAAGAGACTGAAATAAGAAAGGAGCGCTACAACTTCATTGCATCTGTTTGACTGCCCGAATCGAATGAGTGAGCGAGCGAGTGAATGAATGAATGAATGAATGGAGGAATGAATGGAGGAATGAAATGTATGGCTTGCTTCGTTACATTTCCCTTTTGGCCATGGTCAGCTCATTGTTGTCGTTGCCGTTGCCGTTGCCATTGCCATTGCCGTTTGCTTTTGCCTTTGCTTTTGGGCATATTTCACTTACCGGAACTACAAAGCAGAACGATTGCTGAGCAAGCGATAAATCCTGCTGAGGAGAAGCAAAATGTGTGCCCGGGCGACGGCATCTCTGTGGATTGTGTGGGACTGTGACTTGCAGCCGGAGGTCGAGGAGCTTCTGGGTGAAAGCTGCAAGCTGCAGGCTGCAGTCTGCAGTCTGGTGGGTTGGATTGCGCACGAGTCTAGTGTTCTGGAGATCTGGCACTTGAGTCTATATTCCTGGGCGGGCGGGGCGGTTGGCTTCTTGCTTCTGGCTTGCTGGCTTAGAGCGGAGAGTGGCTTTCGGTTTCTTTGGGCCAGGTTTTTGGGTCTGGGGGCGGCAGCAGCATCATCATTGGCCGCATTGTCATTGACTGTTTGGGGCACCGGGCCACAGTCACGGCCACTGGCTGTGCCTCCGCCTCTGTTGACTGCACTGGGCCACCTCTTTGCATATGCAAATTTTAATTTCCGCTGCTTTCTTTGATGTGCACACAAGTTGCATGCTTCATTTCCGTCTTTCTTCTCAACTTATCTCTCTCTCTCCCTCTCTATCTATCGCTATCTCTCTTTCGCTTTTGCACTCTTTCTGGGTATCTTTGTTCTTTTGGTTTTCTTCACACACACTCGAAAAAAAATTCTTAAAAGAGAAACTGGAGCTGGGAACACACTCCACACAAAACAGTTTCAAATTGCAGTTTCAGTTTCGCTTTCGTTTCCGCTGGGGGTTTCGCGCTTTCAAAAGCACGCTTGGCCACACTGCAATTTCGCTGGGCCGAACAGACGCGTCCGTTTATCTCTGAATCCGAGTTGAAACTGAATTGTCACTGCTATCAGCGCCAAAGGATATGCAACGGGCTTTCGGCAGGCGCGCAGCAGCAGCAGCAACAGCAACGGCAGCAGTAGCGGCAGCGGCAGCAACAAGAACAACCACAGCCGCAGCAGCACTCACAGCGTCGTCGGCAGCAGCAGCTTGACGCAGCAGGACGAGCTTCGTCTTGGCACGAAGCAGCAGCCCGAGCATAGCCGAGCAGCGCGCCACTAGCATGGGCACACGACTAACTCGCAATCGAAATACTGGGACCACCATCGGAGTGTGGCTGTGGTGGACATTTGTTTGGGAAATTTCCAAAGTGCGACGCTGGGAAATGAATCTGAGGAGAACAAGTGCCTCTTGCCTCTTGCTGATTTTTGATCACATGAGGAGCACATTGGACAAAGGGACAGGATAGTAGTAGTATGTATTATGTAAATTTATGACTTGAAATACCCCACACATTTTAATTAGGCCAAAACTCAACCAATTAACTGTTTTTGAGTCTGTTTTACTGGTGGAATCTGGGAAGATATTTACCTTAAGGGTAAAATATACATCATTTAATTTTTTAATCATTGATTGAACAATCATATTAATCATGCAACTTATTCAACTTATCATTGATACAGATTTCTAGCTTGAAAATTGAGTCTCCCTAAGCTCTTCTCACTCTTGCCTATGGGCCAGACGACAGCTATTCCACGTCAGGCCACTCTTATACGGAAACTCTTCTATGGTACAACGAAGCAGCAGGCGGCATCTTCGTGCATGGGCACGAGGCACTGACGTCGCTGCCGACGCCTGCGCGACTTGGGGCGACGAATCCCGCGGATCCAACGAATTACATCGCTTCCCAGCCACTGCTGCTGCGGCTGCCACTGCTTCCTGCTGTGTCTTGCTGCTGTTCCTGCCGCTTGGTGTCTTGCTGGCAATCAGCGAGACGTTACGTGCGTTTTTTTCCTTCGCGGAGCGGGGCTGCCTGCTTCTTATCACAGAGGGAGTCTTCGAAATGCTCCCGCTCCTGCTGCTTCTGCTGCTCGGGCTCTTCGGGCACCTTGGGCTCGCTCGGGCGCTCCTCGTTTCTGCTTGGCAGTCAGCGTTGATATAAATTCTTATTGGCGCATTACAAATTGTCGTCTTGCCACCGTGCCCCACCAACGCTCTTGCACGCCATGTGGAGGGGGTGTCCGTGTCCGCCACTCTCTCTCTCTCTCTCTCTGTCTCTCTCTTTCTTTTTATTTTTGTGGAAGTTTAGCACATAATGTAATCATCTTACATAACACAAGGAGGCATAAACAGTTTTTCTGCTCGAAGACAACAGCTGAATCCATCTTTTGTTTGGTCGTAATTAGATTTTCGCCTCATTTGCATACAAATGGGAATGGGGAAAGGAAAGCGAGCCCGTCCGTGAATGGCAAATCAACCATCCTTCATTCTGCACAACACACGTGCATAAATTAGCTCCAGAACAAACGAACAAAAACCAAAAAAAAAAAATGTTAAGCCTTTGTTCAATTATACGAGTGGATGGCAGAGCGAATAAATGCGAGTGCGAATGCGAGACCGACAGATCAAACAGCGGCATTAAACAGTTTTCATTTTAATTTCCTTTCGCATCCCATCGCAATGTATGGCTTCCCATCGATTTGGCTAATCCATAAAATCGCTTTCGCCACTAATTCAATTCGAATGTCGCGCTGAATTATTGAAAGCATTTCAATCAAAGTCAGTCAACAGTCAGCAGTCGGCGGTCGCCAGGCAGTTGGCAGCTGACTGTCTCAGGGACATGCTTCCTTCTCTCGACTCCACTCGTTTCGGTGCCATTTCATTCGATTTCATTCCATTCGATTCGATTCGATCCGGCGGCTCCCACAACGCGTTGGAAGCCAATCACTTGACATTGCAATTGAATGCGAAGGCAGCCCAGCCCGGTGGTGCCTGTGCCTGTGCCTGGATCTGTCCAACCAGCCCAACTAAAAATAACAATAACCAAGAGTAATCAGAGTTACAAATCAGACTAAATTAATACTCTTGGTATGGTTAAGAATGTTATGCTACAAAGTGTCCGGCAACCTCGACTGCTTCTGAGGCGGATGATCGTTCTGCTAAGACAGCTCTATTGGGAGCTTATAAACTCTTATAATTATGTTCACCTGGGGAAAAAGCGTTATCATTATAATAACATCAAAAGCAAAGCCCCCCCAATGATTTGTCTTTCTGTTTTTCCATCGCATCGATAGATTATCCATTGATAACCAACTAATAAATACAACTAAGATTAGTTCATTGTCTACAAAGATAGATTTTAAATACGATTTAGCTATTTGCATTGAGATATTTTTACTCAAATATAAAACCAGTAGAGACAGGCATTTTTCTCGTATAAATTGAGCAAAGAAATAATATTTTTGTTGCTTATATTCCTAACAATCCTTTGCACCATGCATTGGGCAAATCTTGCTAGTCGATTTGTTCTTTAAGGAAAATTTTTCAAGAGATTTAAGGAGCTTTAAACTATTCAATCTACTTGCTATAGGAGAGAGTACGGGCTGTCTTTCATCATATAGTTGATGTGCAGCAGTTGGATTTCGTCGAATAGTCAGGGCAGTGCAGGGCAGGGCAGGGCAGGGCAGAGTGCAATGTGAATGCATTTTGGATGCTGGTGCTCATGTAATTGGCGGGCATTCGGCATTGATTAAGGCTCGCGCCAAAAAGTATGCAACACATTTTTGTATAGCCTCACACACACACATTCGCAGACGAAGCTGCACACAGAGCAGAGGCACAAACACATTGAATGGCAATCGCAGCCAATGCAATTGAATTCGTGGCAGTTTTAATGTAATTAGTTTTTACACCTTGCCAAACCGAACGCGAGACAGACACAGACACAGAGCCAGAAACGGAATTGAATGTGTGCGTGGGTGGTGTTGGGGTTGGGCTTGGGCTTGGGCTGGGCTTGGGTTTGGGGCTGGGATGGATAACTAGATGGATGGGCTGAAAAGGAAAATGGGAAAGTGTAATGGTGATGGTGTGGCTGAGGGTAGTAAGGGTAATGTTGAGGGGCCGTGTAAGAGCAGACACTGCGAATTTTCTAATTAAAAACGCCAATGGCAATTGCCATTGGCCTGTGACCCCCCCAGCCAGGAGCCAGGAGCCAAGAGCCAAGAGCCAGAGAGGTGCTGCTCCATCTCATCCGTGTGGACCCATTCTGGAGCCGGCTGGAACCGAGGCTAATTGGCAACAAGACAAATCGCTGTGGCAATTTGCCGAGAATTATGCGACAAGATCAATTTGGCCATACGATTGGATGTTGGATGCTGGCCCCCAAGTCGCGAGGCAGGTTCAAGGTCTACAATTGTTATAAATTTCGCACTTTCGGCGCCCCTGCCCCTGGGAAGAAGGTAGGGAGGAGAGTGGATGAAAATAATGAAACTCATAAAAGTTTTACGGCATTTTCGGTTTACGCCTTTCGCGCATTACTGCAGGCGTGGGCATGGACCTTGTGGGCTGGGTATGATTTGAAATTAATATAACTAAAAGGTTTTACGGCGCCTCATTCAATCGCCCAGCTATATGCTTGTCAGACTGTATGTGTGTGTGTGTGTGTTTGTGTGGTTGTGTCTGACGGATACGTTTTGCTTCGGACCGGTATGTGGCCGTGTTCTCTCACTAACCAACCATTTCTCCATGTTTCTTTCTTTATTTTTGTGTGTTTGGTTTTATTGATTTCCACTGCTTGGTTGCTTCGCTATTTTTTATATGTGTGTGTATCGCTCTTCTTCTCCTCCTTTTTTTTTTTTTGAGCCAATACGTTTGCGGAAAAACTAGGAACTAGCGGATGCCTGCGGTGCGTTCCTTTCCGTTCCAATCCACTTCGTTTCGTTTCGTTTCAGAGGCGGAACAGAGTCGATGCGTTTAGTAGATTTGACGCCTTTGACGCTTGGGTGCCCGTACCCAGAGGTTGTGCATGCCTCACATACCCACATACCCACACACCCACACAGATAGAGAGCTCGCTTTAACCCTAGGGCAAACTGTGCCAATGGGAAGTGGACAGTGATGCACTCGACCCAATCTCGATGGGGGGGGTTGAGCCTTCAACTGCAGAGAAAGGAACTAGTTTCCGGTACAGTGATCTTCGGCAAATGAAGGATTTAATTAACTTCACTGCAAATAAATATTCCTAAGCTAAACAGCACTTCAGCACCTATTTAAAGATGCTTTGACCGCAAGCACTAAAGGGTTACGAATTTTCAATTCTATCCATGGGACAAGTGACAGCTCCATTGAGACACGAATGGTCCCAATTGGCTATGCGATTTAACCGCATGTCACAAGGGTTAACCAAAACCATCGGGGCACACACTTCAGCCGCACTCCATGAGTAACTCAACCATTCAGCCATATTTGATAGCAGCCAAAGCATTAAAATTGTTATTTATTTATTTATGCATTCTGTCGATGCTGCTGCTGATGCTGCTGCTCCTCCCTCCCCAAGCTAGAGGAGCTTTTCCGCCTTTTCCATCAGGTGACAGACAGTAGAAGTGGCCGCAAGCTCCTGCGTGTATCTGGAGTCGGGTGACCAGCGCTGCCTGTCCACTGCAAAATGCATCCCTGAGCAATGGCTGTTTCTTCTGTTTAATTCGGTTTGCACAAATATTTCCGGTTTAGTTTAAAGCGCAATATCCGCTTTCCTTTTCCCATTGCCAGGCACTCTCTGTCGCTCTCTCTCTCTCTCTCTCTCTTATGTTGGGTGCCATCCCGTTCAGGCTTATCCTAGCCCTGGCCTTCAGGTGTAAACACTATCTGCATTTTCATGCTCCAAACAGAAATTTATTGCATATGCTGAGGGGGTGTGGCAGCGTGGCAAGAGTGCTTGTGAGGGGGGGGGAGGGGGCCACATCCTATCTATTCGGTCTGTCCGGGCAATCGAAGAGCAACTTTATCGCTGCAATTGCGTCTCATCTTCCACTCGTGGCAGACG